AAAAAAAAAAAAAATAATAATAATAAAAAAAAAACTGGAAAATCAATTTCCACCAAATTAGTGAAAATTGATTTTCCATAAAACCAAGGAAAAGGTGACCGTATGAGCCAATCTAAGAAAATGAGTTCCATGGAAAAAAAAAAGTGTATCAAACAACGCAAAAGTGGAAGTTAGAATTCGTTTTCCATTTTCCATGAAAAATTTGAGTGAATCAAACATGCCCTTAATATCAAAGTTTACATGTCAATGTGTCAAAGAGTAATGCTATTCATAATGAAAACTATAGGTAGTCGTCATATGTGACATATATGTGGCAGTTTGTTGTTTAACACTGCATCAAATAACAAACAGCTAAATATATACTACGCAGCACGAATGTCGATAGTTCTCATTATGAATAACATTATTTTCTGTCAATTATAACTTTAGAGATAAAGGTATCAATTTTATCTTCGACCTTGTGAAGTGTGAAGTCCTATTCAAGCATGTTTTTAATTTCCAATTAATATGCATCTACTAATGCATGCAAATGTTGAACTCAATTATTGATATCATTTTTTTTGCATATTCTTTGCAAAATTATGTTTCAAGATAGTTGACTTTAACTGAAGTCGATATAATTGACAAATTTTGTGCGCAATAGAGTCAAATCTGAGTCATGCTCTAGTTACAAAAACATTTGAAGTTGAACGTTTCGGCGTTCAAATTCAGCTCAATCTATTTCAACACCTCAAATGAATATTCAAATTTCATTACATTTCTTGGCCTAACTGTTACGTTGAAGCGTGAATATTAATAGAAAAATAATAACAAGAACACACAAATTTACTTGAAAACTCTAGATGAGAGAAAATCATGTGCAAGGGAGAGAAATTCGCTATATCAAAAATTAGTACAAGAGATGAGTGTTTTGATACTACTCAGATTAATACAATGTTAATAATTAAACTAGTAAGTAAAGAAGTGGAAACTCACATACAAAATAAAAGTTATATGGATGTTTTATTTTTCTTTATGATTATCTTGCTTTAACTTGGAAACTGATTCGTATAAACTCAAAAACATTGTAACTTTGCAAATTATAATTTATAGTTTCCCTCCCTCTAATATCAAAATATTATTTATTTAGACCATAAATAAAGGAATAAAAAAAGGTGAAAGAATAAATAATATATTCGAAAAAGAGAGAAATCTTATTGAGCTAACTTTGAAGCATCTTGTATTCTTTAAGCAAAATATCTGCACCAACTTCTATGAAGATTTAGATAAAGACGAAGCTTTGATTATTGTAAATTAATTAATTATATACTATAATTTTACATTGCTTTGTAAAATAAGTTGTACTTGATATAAATATGTTTATAGATGGTGACTACTTAAAAATTTGATTAGATGTACGTAGTTGCAACTACTGTTTTTGGAGTTAATCAATTGTCATAAACATTTCGAGATTAATGCCTACACGTAAAGTGTCAAATCAGATGTAGTAAGTAGTATTAGACAGAATTGACATCTGCATCTAACTAATATTTTAGTTTCTTTTTCTTTTCTTGTGTAATAATATTATGTTGTCAACCTTGCAAAACATGTCGTAAGAGGCCGTTGAGTTAATTTCATTTTTGGTTGCTGAACTTTCAGTGAAATTATAATTTGATTATTTAATTTTAATTTTTCTCAATCAAATGATTTAACTTCAATTACTTTCAATGTTAAATCGTTAGCCATTGTCGCGGAGTGACTAACATTGAAAATTACCGATTCAATTAACATAAGATTGAGATGCTAGGTTTAGCAATTGTGACTCGAGGAGTAACTAACATTGAAAATTACTGATTCGATTATGACAAATTAAAATTATGTGGCCTAATTGATATTTTCACTGAAAGATCAATGGCCAAAAATGAAACTAAATCGAGGCTTTCATATACTCAATTTCGAGGTAATCAATTCGCTTAATCTAATTATATTCTTCTAAATCATTTATTTGGCAAAAGATTCAGTGAGATTTAGAGAAGAAAAATCCAAATTTGGCCATCACAATGAGGCATATGGATCCAAAACACATGGGACAGGACAAGAACAAATCAACGTCTGGTTATGAAATGCAAACGATTTCTCCATATTTCACTTGAAGGGATGGAATGTAATCAACTTCACATACAAAAAATAACTACTTTTCTAATTAATGTTTAGCCAATACCCTTCAGGATGTCGTCCTATGGTCCTACGCTATATATGTATGTTATCCATGTATCCTTCTATACTCTACAAAAATTGCCCGACTCTCTAATTGTACAATGCACATGAATGTTATCTATTTAATCTCGTAGTTAGGGTGAGTGTAAATTTATACTTGTCATGTAGGCAATAAAATGTTTTGTCCCATTAGGGTTTGTTAATTATGTTGGTGACATTATACTAACCTAGAATTTATCGCATAACAAAGATATATCGCCGGTTATACCCCAATACCAAATTGTGCAGCATCAAGGATAAAAAAAATTCAATTATTGATGCTACACCGTGATAATGCTATTTACTTACCGCTATTTACGAACAAAAGTAAATTCTAGAGGTAAAAGTCTCCTCGGATATTTACGGAACAACTAGCTAAAGCATCACTAGTTACCTACATATTAGCAATGGATACAAGTTTTTGGTAATTAATGGCGGATTCATTCATAATGATTTGTGACAATTAAGACTATTGCAAAACACTCAATAATGTTTTATCAGTAGCAAATTCTAATTAAACGTCGAATCGTTATAATGGATAGCACATAATTGTGAGTAGAAATTACCCATTTGAAGTGGTAAGAGTCATTGCAAGCTCATTGACTAATGAGGACCATTCAGAGTGTTCAGTTTGGTGGGCCGTCGTTTACCGGTTCACATGTGAAGGTTGGTGACGGGCATCATCAACCTATTATTGTTCATTGGCTACAATATATTCTCAAACCCCCACTCCCACCCACACGAGTAACCAAATATAACATACATGTGAGCATAATTATATATAATAGATGGCAGTGAGATTTACTGAGGCAGAAAATAATTGTTTTGGGAGTGCCATTTTATTACAGCATTGGGGTACAAGTAGATTTTCAAGAAAAAGTAGAGCCATGTCTTTATTAGCTAAATAAACTATGGAAGAAACCAAGACAATAATAAAGAAGATACCTTCGAGGCGTACACTACACTAAATACACCCTTATATATCCTCACCAGTAATTCATTCTCACCTCACAAAGTTCATACACTGTGTTCATTGGTTCACTTTCAAGTATATATATCTTAGCCTAATTGCGTGATAGTGATAACAAAAATGGTGTCCGAAAAGCCCAGAATCGTGATAATTGGTGCAGGAATGGCTGGCCTAACTGCTGCTAACAAGCTCTACACAAGCTCGAAAGAGCTTTTCGAGCTTTTGGTTGTGGAGGGTGGAACAAGAATTGGCGGCAGAATTAACACTTCCGAATTTTGTGGTGACAGGATTGAGCTAGGTGCCACTTGGATCCATGGAATTGGGGGCAGCCCAGTTCACAAAATTGCTCAAGAAATCAATTCATTAGAATCTGAGCAGCCATGGGAATGTATGGGTGGGATTTTGGAAGATCCTTTGACCATAGCCGAAGGAGGGTATGAGCTTAATCCATCATTTGTTGAGTCTATTTCTAGCCTTTTCAAAAATCTGATGGAATTAGCTCAAGGGAAAATGATTGATGAAGATGGCGAAATCGTTGAGCGTATGAAGCAAGCTGCAGCCTTAACTGCAGGAAATCTCAGCGTTGGTTCTTTTCTCCGGCAAGGTCTGGATGCTTATTGGCGCATAACTAATGATGAAAATCTGGACGTCAATGGAGTTGGTAATTGGAGTGGAAAATCACTCCAAGAAGCTATTTTTGCAATGCATGAGAACACGCAAAGGACTTTTACATCGGCCGGTAATTTGCACACTCTTGATTACAATGCAGAAAGTGAGTACAAGATGTTTCCTGGTGAAGAAATAACTATTGCAAAAGGTTACTTGAGTGTGATTCAATCACTGACTTCTGTATTACCGGCTGGTTTGATCCAGTTAGGCCTGAAAGTGGTAAAAATCGAATGGCAGCCTGAGACGAAGAAGAACATGGAGATTAACAACGGATGGCCAGTTAAGCTACATTTTTCTGATGGATCAACTATGTATGCTGATCATGTAATTGTTACTGTTTCGCTTGGAGTTCTTAAGCAAGGAATTCGACAAGATTCTGGATTGTTTAGCCCCTCATTGCCTAGTTTCAAAACAGGAGCAATTTCAAGGCTGGGGTATGGTGTCGTTGACAAGATGTTTTTGCAAGTAAGTAACTCAAATGAAGATCAAGAAATCAATGGTTGCAACCCAAAATTTCCATTGTTGCAAATGGTTTTTCATCAATCAGATTCCAATTTCAGGCACACAAAAATCCCTTGGTGGATCAGGAGAACTGCTTCTCTATCTCCAATTTACAGTAATTCAAGAGTCTTATTATCATGGTTAGCAGGCAAAGAGGCCCTTCATCTTGAATCCCTCAATGATGAAGAGATTCTAAATGGGGTTTCCACAACTGTCTCCAACTTGTTATCCCATAACTTGTGTTATTCTGCAGGAATTCCTCAACCAAAATTTGATAAAGTTTTGAGGACAAAATGGGGCACTGATCCTCTCTTCTTGGGATCATATAGTTATGTGGCTGTCGGATCAAGTTGCGACGATTTGGATTCTCTGGCCGAGCCATTACCAAATGATTCATCGTCGTCGTCCTTGTCATCTCCACTGCAAATTCTGTTTGCAGGAGAAGCAACACACAGAACACATTATTCAACTACTCATGGAGCTTACTTTAGTGGTCTCAGAGAAGCTAATAGGCTTCTTAAACACTATAATTGTATTGGTGTATGAATATTTGTTTGTTTCAGTGCTAGAAATTAGGCAGCTTATTTTCTTTGCTATTACTTATTTTCTACATTCATTTGGAAGATAAAAAAATTAAAATATATCTTTGTTAAACTAGTCAATATCTATAAACTATAAATGTTGGAGGCTGTGAAAGGGAGAGATGGAGACATTTTCTGATGTGCTGATCAAATTGAATGAATTAAAGGAAGTTACTTTTCAATTTTCTATCGCTCTTACTTTTTATTAGTGACTTAAGTTTCTTGAATTGCTCGTCCTACTAAAATGTCATGATCAATCTTCAAAGCAAACTAAACCCAGTTCTTGATCTGAATTTTTATACTAAATAGAATAAGATAAAGTAAGACAAAGAAGCTTTGGATCTCATCATACTCTAGTTTGGTCTCAAGACAGGATCCGTAAAACCCGCTTACTCATGCTATCAAATTTGTTCTATATTCCTCTTCTAATTGCACTGGTATTTGCAAAGAACTAACTAAAGAAAAACCATAATTTTTAAGTCATTTTTTTGGGTTTTCTGGTTCTGCAAGAAAATAAAATGGCAAAAGTATTTAAGATTAAGCAATAATTGTCCATGTTTGCATCTAGTCTTCTGTCTCACATTGAGCAGTGGAAATATTATAATGCTTCCAATATTTATATATAGTAAAATGAGGGCATTTTTGACACGTAGAGCGTATTAAATGAAATTAAACAATAAGATTTGAACTTCAATTCTTCTTCTTATTGAGTACTATTTCTACTCATCCACTTGTCCTCACACACAACCAAAATATACTTGTCTCTCTGTAGACGTAGGAATGGAATTGTTGTACTAACATATGATCCAACGGAAAGGAAATAGTTACTATCCTACAAAAATTTAACGTCTAGTAATTGTATACTTTATTTCTTGTCGTTTGCACGATTAGATATTGCAATAACAACATATACAAATGTCCAAATTTCAGATAATGAGATTATACATTTTAACATGACCAACAAAAGTTTTACTTTTAGATCAGGTAAAAAAATTGCAACAGCTTATGGTGAAAAAACTTTTTGATCAAGTAAAAACAATTTCTTGTGACAAATCACCAAAAAAGTCCAAATCAATGGTGAGTCAAGGACAGTCCATATTAAGGACCCCAAACAGTACCATATTCTGCAGAATTCAGCCAAAAGACTCGATCAGAGTTTGCTTCCAAAATGTCCTCAACAAAGAGACATTATGTATGGATGCTCTTGTCCTTCTGATAAAATTTTGATCTTTTGTGCAGAAATCTCTCTTAGGTTTAGGGTACCCCAAAATAATAGGTCTCACCAAATACATTTGGCCTCAATAATACACATCAACAATGCGTCCAACCCTCGGCTTTGTCTTTCTTTAATTCTCATATTCATTTTCAATCACAATTTACACAATAAAATATTTTGTGAGTAAATCAAAATTATCTACTTTTTAATCACACGTTTTTCAAAAAAGCACTATTAAAAACTCAAAATTTTAAAATAATCACAATCAAATAAGGGCCGAAAAAGAGTAGATTTATCTACAAAGCAAATCAAAATTTCTTTACTTTTTTTTTGTACAATCTTCTCGATGATAGGGACACAATATGGCTATATTGAACCATTAACAAATACACGTTAGCTTTTTAGTATTGGCAATTCTGTGAACAAAATGACTAATTTGTAACGTGTTATAAAAGTCAAGCACTTAGGATTCAATTTGTATAAATTGGGTTATGAGGTTTAGGGTTCGAGTTTATGAAACATGAAGAAACAAGCGCCGCATTTTCGCTAGCCTATCATTGGACACTGCTCGAGCGACAAAAACAAAATCCTCGTCGCTCGCCTGTCGCCCGGCTCTAGCTCAGGCGAGAGGGCATCGTTGGCCTATCACCGAGGTTAAGCTCGAGCAACATGATTATACGGAAAACCCTAATTTGCATTTTTAAACAAATTTTTTCGGCATGTTCAACCCAATTACCCTCTCCTATAAATACACAAGCCATTAGACGAAATTCTAAGGTGATTTTATTATTTTCATTGCCTCATCTTATTTTCTAAAAATCCAAGAACATATTCTTTCATTTTGATTCATCATTTCTTCTTAAGATCATATAACCACCTATTTGGGAAAAATATCAAACTCATTAAACTGAAACACCACCTACTTCATATTGGTCATAGGAAAGCACTTTCTCAGTTGGACTTCAGAGTTGTTGGAGGTTGAGAGATGTTGGACTACAAGCGCAGGAAGAGCATAAGACCTTGGAGCAAATTTTTGGAATTCTACTGGGAAGAGACAATTGCAAAAGAACTTGGAGCAGGTCTTGGAGTAGACCTTGGAGTTAGCAGGAAATAGAACAGGAAGTCTAGTGGAGTTGGTTAGATAGCATCTGACTGTAACTCACTCCGTGTTGTTTATAATAGAGGTAACGGCTTGGTCCTGGAGTTTTTACCCAATTGGGATTTCTCCGTCATCATTCTTTACTGCTTTAATTACTGCGGTATTCAAACTTAGAAAAATTGATTTGTTTGATTAAACAATTAAAAGTGTCTTGTTGTTTTTGATTGGTCAAAACTAAAAACGGATAATTAATAACCATTCAGTAACTTAAGTAACCATTAGTTTGGTAATCCATAACTTTCAAGTGGTATCCAGAGTGACACCCGATTTTTCAATTTGGTATCAGAGCCCAAAATCGATTCTTGACGTAATATTATCTAGATGAGTAGTTCATTATCTATCCCGCCTTATTTTGATGGTAGTAATTATGCCTATTGGAAGTTTAGGAAGAGAGCCTTTTTGAAATCTATGGATGAACGTATATGACTGAGTGTTGTGAATGGTTGGACTCCACCTAGTTCTACAGTTAATAATGAAATAATCCCCACCCATGTTGCTAATTGGACTAGAGTGAACTTAGATAAGTGTACTGGAATAGAAAAGCCTTAGATGTCATATTTATGGCAGTATTCCCGTAAGAGTTTAGGCAAATGTTAATGTGTGAGGTAGCCAAAGAGGTTTGTGACATCTTACAAACCACACACGAGGGAACTTAGGCGGTTAAGAACTTTAAATTGCAGATGTTAACCACTAGATTTGAAGAAATTCGGATGAAGAAAGACGGAACTTTTGATGATTTTTATGTGAGCTTAAATGACATAGTTAATTCTAACTTCAACCTAGGTGAGAGAATCCCAGAGCCTAAGATAGTTAGAAAAATTCTTATATCCCTACCAGAAAAGTTTAGACCTGAAGTCATGGCAATAGAGTAAAGTAATTACTTAGATTCTATTAAGATTGAAAAGTTTGTTGGATCTTTCCAGACTTATGAACTTACATTAGTCTAAATCCACAAACGATAAGTCATTAGCCTTAAATACTGTGAAAAATAGTCATAGAAAGTCCTCAGATTCAGATTCTCCTAATGAAGAGGAGTTAACTTACTTTACTAAAAAATTTCGAAAAATGTTTAGGAATAAAAAGAAACCTAAAGATAGACATCGAAGTGATTCCAGTGTGTCTAGAAGGTGATCTCAATTTGTGAGATGTCATAACTATCGAGGTTTTGGCCATGTTAGGAGTAAGTGTCATAAAAGTAGAAGAAATTCGGATAAGACTGTAAATGCTACTCTCATTGATGACGAATCTAACTCGGACAATCAAAGTGAAAAATCAACTCGTGAGAAAAAGTGGAAAATATATTGCCTTTACTACGAGAATTAAATAGTAGTGAGAATTCAAAAAAAGATTCTGATAGTGAGGAAGATATTCATGAGGCTTATGATAGAATCTATGAGGAGAGCATTAAGATTATAACAAAAAAATAAATCCTTAAGCATGAGAGTTACGGAAATTGAGTTGGAATACGAGAAACTCGTAGCGTACATTTAGGAATCTACCTCAACCTTGAGTGGGTTGAAATCCATGAATGAATCTTTAGGAGAGCATTAAGATTATAACAAAAAATAAAGTCTTAAGTACGAGAGTTACGGAACTTGAGTTGGAAAACGAGAAACTCGTAGCGTACATTTAGGAATCTACCTTAACCTTGAGTGAGTTGAAATACATGAATGAATCTTTAGATACTCAAGTTAGAAATCTCACGAGTGAGCTTGAGAAGACCTCTAGGAGAGCTAATGAGCTGACAGTTGAAAAGGAAATCTTAGAAATTCTGGTTAAAAATCTTATGAGAGATCTAGAGTATTCCAAGTCTCAACTTCTTACCTTTTTTCTAGTTGTTCTAAGAAGCTAGATAACATTCTGGGAATGGGCAAGCCTGCTAGTAATAAAGGAGGTATGGGATATAATAAAAATTAACATAATGTTGCTCGTACGTCCAAGATCACATTTGTCCCTAGTACTAACCAGCTTAAACATGTGTCTAGCCCTGAACCTAGAAATAAGGGATATGTAGAACAGAGACCTACTAGACAGCGTAGGACATGCTAACCTAGGAATAGACATCAACGATCACATTATTGACCTATGATTCAATATAACTCCACTTGTTTTGATTATGACAAACAATACTCTTGTATTTCTAACTAATCTCGTTTCTTGAGTTTTCATGTATAAATATCCTTAAAATATTCAAAGGCACACATCGTCATCAGTTGAAGAGTGTGAAAAGAGACTCGAAGAGAATAAGAATCGTGAACAAAAGTGATCCGAAAAAACCAAGATCCTTGAAGATTAAAAATTTAGAAGATATTTTATTGAATCTTCGAAACTACGTGTAAAGGTATAACTTGTTAATTTTTAGCAAGTATAGAGCTTAAATTAATTTTTATACATCTCATCACTTGCATAAAAATAATTTTTTGGAAAAATACATATTCTGATATAAAAACAAAATTCCAAAAATTACACGTTTCGATTGACCGAAATACTTCGGTCCACCAAAACTCTTTGGTCGACCGAAAGTTGCTCAACCAAAAGTTTGAATTGATCAGTCGAAACTCCAACGACTTGAAAACTTTACAATGACTAT